AAACCATAACCCCTAGTGCCACAGCATTTCTGGGCTTGAGGGGATGTCTCAGGAGGGCTTGGGTTCCCGACTCCCAGCTGCATAGAGAACAGAGAAGCAGGGAAATGGCTTTCCTTCCTTCCCTTTGGATCCCTAGCTCCTAATTAGTGGCAGTACATCTGGAGACCTGAGAAAACTGGTGGCCCGGCCAGAGCGCTGGGTGACCGAGGAAGGAGCAGGAGTCGCAGGCTCTGCAGGCAGAGTCCAGAGCCTGCAGTGCAGCCTGAAGGCTGGCAGGGATGGAGAACGTTGGGTTGCTCTTGTAAGTTAGTAAATCCTCCGGGTGATTAAACTATCAGAGCCCTGCCTCTCAGCGCCGTGTCCAAAGAAGCCTCTTTGCACATCTAGCAGCTAGGGAGGTCCCCCGCCCCATCCCTCCAGGTAACGATGGTGTTTCTGTTTCCCTTCTGGGCAGCTTTCAGCTGCCTCCCGCCTTTCACGCGAGCTCAGACATGTGAGCCCTTGGGCTGCGCAGGAGTCTCCTGCTGGGCGGGGCCTGACCACAGGGGACTTGCCCTGCGCCCATTGCTGCGGGCTTGAGGATGGGGGGCGGTAGGATGGGGAGCCACGTTTTCGCGGCTTCCTTTGTGGACTTGACATCCAGCAGCGTGTTCTTTGGGCTGAGATAATTTTCTCCCGAGTGCTTTCATTTTAGTTGGCTGATTTATTCAACGTGTGGCCCAAGACTTGCTGAAAAGGGCTGGGGAGTTAGCTCAGCGGCGTAAGTGCCTACCTGGTGAGCCCAAGGTCCTGAGTTTGATCTTCAGTACTGAAAAAAAAAAGTCTTACTGAAAAGCAAGGGGAGCTGTCCTTTGCCTTCAAGAGGATTGAGAAGATGCTAGCGCTCCCCCTGAGTCTCAGGGATGGTTCGGGGTCATTGCCTGGCACCTCAGCCACCTTGGGGGGGGGGCACTTGGCACGGCCTAGATAGTCTCTAACCTCTTTTGTATCTTCAAAGTGTTAGCTGACATGGAATAAATTTTCAAATGTTTTATCCCTCTTCACACTTGCCATATTTATTGAAGGCTTACTATGATCCAAGACTTCTCCAAAGTGCATAGATTGGATACTTAATCCCAGCAACAGCCCTCTGAAATAGGTTTCATCACTGGTATTCCCATTGTACAGATGGAGAAACTGAGGAACGAAGCAGCCAGATGACCTGCCCAAGGGCAGATAGTGGGAAAGAGGGTAGAAACAGTTCCACACCCAGACAACCTTCCCTCAACCCCTCCTCCCTGCTGCCTTCTCTGATACCTTAGATGCTTTGTGTTTTTGTTTAGTTTGATATGTAATTTCATTAATTAATCAGATGAATTGGAAGAAAAAGATCCAAGTGACACCAGGACACCTGCACGCCACCCAGGGCTAGGATCGGGGTCATCACACCCGGAGCATTTCTCACACCCGGAGACAGATAATCTGGGTTGTAGAATCCAGTTCAGCACAGACCGACCGGACACCTGCTAGTGCCTGCGGGAAGCTTGGAAGATGCAGAAAATGAAAACCAAACCAAACCAAAATAGGTTAAGCTAGGTGTAGTATTAAAGATACCTAACGACTCCATGGCACGACCGTCAGTGCTGCAGAATGAGCCCCGTCAGCCAGGATCTCTCCCACAGGTACCCCTCGCCCAGTGTGTTATGTGTCGGTGGAAAGGCGGTGTGGGGCAAGGCCTGGGACAGGGTGCAGGGCACTCGGGCTCCTAGGCAGTGACTACTTAGCCTTTGAAGTACTTTGGTACTTAAGGACCTGTTCAGGAGCCTCCAGGGCCTTCCCTGGAACTCTTAGAAGAAGTTGCCTCCTTTCTGGGGCTCATGGCTTGGGGAGTAGGATACATAATCTGGCAAACGAGTCTAGGGCATGACCTGCCTGCACCTTCCAGGTAGACTTCTACGGTAACAACTCACACCCGGGTGAAGGTAACCATTCGCATACCGGGAATGCACACCCAGTATGTGGTGGCGCTGACTGCTGCCTATCCCAAAGGGGACCTTCGACGAACAGAACTGGGGATCCCTGCTTCGTAACGTCACCGAAGCCGTCGCCAGTGTTTGCAGTCTGGCTGTGGCGTGGTTCCTTGTTCCAATGCACATGAGCTTTGTCCTAGGTGAGCCCAGTACCACAGGTGCAAAGCCTGCCGCCTGCCGCCTGCCGCTCGACGATCTGATTCTCCGGCACTGTTTTTCATAGATGTCTTTTGGATAGTTATTGTGCTGACTGCCACGCAGAGCAGAGTGGCCTGAGTTTATTTTGGCGTGCAAGTGTCTCAGTAACTAGTGATTTAAATTCCTTTTAGGGCTTAGGTGTAGCTTCAAATTGTTTGGGGCATGAGCCTGAGTCATTGCAACTCGTTCAGCTCTGAATCTGAGAAAGGCTATGAGGTTCAGAGATGCTAAAGACGCTGCCCCCGCTGAGAGCGGGTCACTCGGGTCACAGGTGAGTGAGTGAATGGAATGCAACAGAGTGAGGGACAGGTGACGGAGTGGGTGGCCTGGGTGGACTCCCGAGGGCCAGTGGGCCTATTCTCCTGCCACCAGACCACTGGGTAGAATGCACACGTTCAGTTTCATTGGGTAAAACCAAACACATTTTCAGAGGGCTGTTTTTTTTCTTTTTGTGTGTGTGTATGTGGTACTAGGGATTGAACCCCCAGCCACCAGAGGTTCATACTTATAAACCCCAGGAGCCTGCCGAGAGTTTTGTTCTTCCACATCGCACGTGCAGAAAGGACTTTCCAACACTTGTCAAGGCCGAGAGTGGGAAGCGAAGGCTCCCTGCGCCTGCTCTGCCTTTTCCCTTTCTGTGAGGATCAGAGAATCTCTTCCCGCTCCTGATTCTCTCGCTGTGTCTAATCTAGCGCAGAATCTAAGTGTTGTGCTTGTCAATTTCATTTCTTGTCTTCATATGAACAATACCAAGTATCTAGGTGTAGCATTTGATTGGCAAAAATTATGTTTTTGGTTCATCTAACTTATTTTCCTTTATTAGGAGGATGTCATTGATCAAGAGAGCTGGAAATGCTGCTGGATGTGGTGGTGCAAGCCTGTAATCCCAGCACTCAGGAGCCTGAGACATGAGGATCATTGTGAATTCAAGACCAGCCTGGGCTGCAAAGTGAGCTCAAGGCCAACCTGAGCTGAATGGTGAGACCTTGTCT